TTGATACCGCCGTATCTCAGAACACCCAGTGATTTCATCTTTTCCTAAACAAGTTTTTTGTTAGTGCCTAAATCTCTTGGTCCAGCTTTTCTTAGCGACCCCCACTTCTCTTGAATGGAGAGGCAGCCAAGGACAAAATGGGTCTTAGCTTTTGTTTGGTTTTGACATGTTTTTGTATGCACACTGAAAATCAATACTATTTTGATTCCTATCTCCTCTTTCCAGAGGCCTAAAATCTACTGAGGGCCTTGCTGGCCAACCGCGCCTTCTCCCCCTGCACCAAGACACCACCCAGAGCATCAATCAGCAGTCAGTCTTGAGCAGTCTCTGTCTCCTGTGAGTTCTCAGGTCATTTCTCTAGTTTGACAAATTGTCCCTTAGATAAGCATCTGCCTGTTGTTTTACCCACTGGCTCCTAGCAAATCCTGGCTCCTAGTTGTGCATGGAGGGTTGTGAACAGTGAAGCTTGCCATGGGCTTTGATGTCTGCTCCAGGGGCCAGTGGGATGACTTCAGGGCTTGGGTCCTTGCCGAGAGTGATGTATGTTTTGTTAGACTTGTTTACCTCATGGTTAGGACCCAAGTGCCTGCCCAGAGAAAGGAACCACATGTTTATTCTCTGTTTTGGGGTATTGTTCTTCGTTGACTCCACCAGTCCCAGAAAGTGTCTCTGCTTTTGTTCTTTGGGGCTTCTCAGCAGCTTTTCCTGTACCTGGTACCGCTCAGACTTGCTCACCCTCAGGCCTTTCCCTGTGTGGTTTTTACAGATTTGCAGTTTCTGGAGTACCTGGAGCCCAGCTGAGCTGGAGCTTAGCCCTTCTACCCCCGTGCCACCCCAGGATATGACTGCAGACTGGCACACGGAGGTGACCTTCCCTCCCCTCTGCAGCTGTACTTAGCCACATCCCGTTCTCGGGTTGGTCTCTGTCCTGCACAAGTGGATCCGTGTGTGGGGTGATGCAGTTTCTTTTATGCAGAGGAACCTAGCTTGCCTATGAATTGATTAGTGACCACAGTGTGCTCTAGAGAAAGCCTCCGGGCTTTGCTGGCCCTTGTTTCTGCTTTGTATGTCTGGAGTTGGACACTGAGGGGCTCTCAGGTTGGTTGTTTGGGAGTAATGAACAGATTGCCCAGAAAACAAATGGGGACCGATTCCAGGCAGTCTGTGTCCAATTAGGTGTCGGTCACAGAGCTCAGTGATCACAGATGCTTCCATAGGCCTCTGGCTGAATTAGAATTCTCTTTTCTCCTTAGACAAACCCTTCTTTTTTTTATTTATTTTTATTTTTATTTTGCAAAAGCAATACATGTTTATTTTAGAAACCAGAAGAAATGCACATAGAAGATGCCAAAAGTACCTACACCCTGAGGGACAAGCTGCATGACCACGTGGGTCTCACGTGTACGCACGCAGCCACCTGGTGCCTCCCACGATCCCTGGCCTCTGTGTACACACGATGGACATTTGCCTAGGGACCAGCCTACTGCATTCACTGATTCTCAGAGTAAAGGGCCTTGGACTTTTTCTGATCTGTGTCTTGCCTTGGCCATTGCTGAGTAAAACTGTGGTAACCAAGCTGCTGTTTAAAATGGGGTTTTCATATTGTGACAGTTTGCAGTCTTACTGTGTGAGCCAAGTGTTCTCATGCAGTACTTAGCAATGAGTAGATGACCACGGAAGTATTCTGCACCCTAAAAGTAGCTTTTATTGTGCATTTTCTATGTGCCAGCTTGTGCTACCAGCTGTGGCTTTTGTCTAAGGAAAGTGGAAGAACAGGAGAGTCCGACGTTGGCTGTATGTGGGCTGTGAGCTTGGCTCCTCCTTTGGATTGCTCTTGGTGATGTTCTGCATCCTCGCTGCATTCAGGAAATGCGCACAGCCGGATGGTTGTGCTCAGCTATCTTGCCTCAGTTCTTTTCCACTCCTCAGACCTCAGTAAGGCCGGGCTGAGGGAGTCGCGGCGTTGCTTCCTTCCCTTCCATCACCTCTCTCCAGCCTGCACAGCAGTATGGGGCCTGCAGGCAAGGGTAGAGCGTGGAGTAGAGCAGAAGCGTGAACGCACACAGCTGTCCTTGTGCAGATGTGAGCAGCAGGGCCTGGGGTGAGCTAGGCAGGCGCTCCCCCTCGACCCCAGCGATAACCCTATCCCTTTGTGCAGAATGAACACTGAACTCTGGGGCCACATTTTAGCAGTGAACTCGTTTCGCGGATTAACTGCTGTGGGGCACTGTAAGCTCAGTGCTATTTTAGATTGAGGCCTTTCAGTCAGAGCCACCTCCAGTTCTGTGAAGGGACATTGCAAAGGGTACTATGGAAAAGTTTTCAATGCCACCCCTTGCCAACTTTCAGGTCATTCTTGCCAGCCACAGTAAGCAGGATCTTACCAGTTCCCTTGGATGGACCCAAGATGAGTCTCAGCTCCTGAAGGCAAAGCATGTAGAGACTCCTAACCCTGCCAGGCATCCAGGGTCTCCCCCAGCATCCTCCAGGGTACAGTCTTGGCACGAGGAGCTCCCGGGTAGGGGTGCTGGGAGAGTGCAGCCTGAAGGCTCCCTTTTTCTGCCCGTGGAGAGTTTGAGCTGACCTAATTTTTACCCTTTCTCTCTGCAGTGGTGGAGACCCAGGAAGGGAAGACAACTATAGTAAGTATCATCGCGTGGGCCACTCAGAACTTCCCAGCACTTGGAGCTGCCTGGCTGCTCCTCAGAGTGAGGCGGAGGCCCACGCTGGCCTCCTGGCTCTGCTCCCTTGGTCTACTATTTTTCAAGCTGTGTGCTATAGTGTGGTTAATCAGGAACAGTCACAATGCCTGGCTCAAAGAATCCATTATGATTAAAGTGACCTATTGCATGACAAAGTCTCAGGGGCTTTGCTAATATATTCTCTGTCAAGTAATAAATCCATCTCCCAGAGAGGAAACTAAGGCAGTGAAAGAGGCCTAGAGAGCCAGAGTATGTTGACTCAGAGCCAGGGTCCCTTCTTTCTGCTCAGAGTAAGTGAGCTACTCTTACGTGACACCTTCCAGAGGTAACCTCTGTCCCTGGACACACTAGCAAGCGCCCTGGCATGTCTGCTGGGAAGAAAATAGCGCCTCTTCACCTCCCCACACTGCCTCCCCTCCCCGGGGCCCCTACCTCCTTTCCTCGGGGAGTCATGGGGCCTAGCTTATCCCATAATCCTTACAAGACAGCGTTGTTTTCACGTGGCCTGCTATGCTGCTGAGAAATCCTCAGCCACTCCGGAGCCCTTGGTAGCTTCTGTGTGGGTCAGGGATTTAACCTTCCAGCAGGCGCAGGCCCAGTACTCCCTGAGGAGTCCCATCCCTGGGTGAGCCCCTCTGGTCAGGGTACTACTCGGCCTTCCCCTTAATTAGCCACATCCCCTTCTGACTTCTGGGGGCCCCATTGCCTTAGAGCACCTCTTCTGGTTCCATCATTAAAGCCAGAATAAATATTCGCTCTACAAGTCCATGCTGAAGAAGAAGGGCCTCTGACTTGAGTATAGAGTGCTTTGCCTGTGGGACGTGAATCTGCTCCTTAGGGACAAACGAGGAGGCACTGTGGCCCTCTGGAGAGCCATCCCTGCCCAAAGAGACCTGCATAGCCAACTTTGGTTATCACTCTGTTCTGTAAATAAGACCAGGAGCCTGTGCGTGGGTGTGGGAGATAAAGGAAGTGGTGTCTGTGTCCTGTTCTTAGCTTAGAACTAGGTCTGTAACAGGAGGCTGGGAGACGTTGGGGCTGTCCCTGGCCACTGCAGTGTCCCCTCCCCTGGGACCACCACGTACAGTGGCCTTTTCCAGCAGCTGTGGATGCCACAGCAGGAAGGCAGGCAGCAGTGTCCAGCACAGCTGAGCAGCCTACTTGCCCCTGCCCTCTGGGACATTCCTACTTTCCTCCAGAGCTCAAGCCTGACCCAGCCACCAGAGCTGCAACTTACATTATAAAGATGTCCCAGGGTTGTGCCACAGGCCACAGCACAATGTGGAGGTCATCTCCTAGGTGGCCTTGGTGGATTTCAAAGGTGGCATCAGGAATGATAAAAGTAGTGAGGCAGAGCAGGAAATAGATCTCCTGTCCGTGTTTTCATTCCCAGAGTAGCGCGAACAGGAACCAGCCCACATGGCCTTCTCCCTCGGCACCATCTGGAGCTGGAGAATTCCTTCGTACTGCCCTGTGCAAATGTAGGTCAGGTAGCAGTGTCCCTGCTAGATGCCAGTAGCACCACTTCCTCCAGCATGACAAGTGTTCCCAGGTGTCCCCTGGAGAATAACATCACCTCTGGTTGGTTGAGACCTACTGTCATAGACCTGGCTTTGGAAAGCTGGAAACTGGTGTCATGGGAAAGATGCTGGGACAGGAGAGTGACTTGCTTGGAACGTTGGTTCCTGCATCCCCTGAAACTGAGTGTGTTAGTACTTGTCCCCAAGTAAGGGAGGACGCTCAAGGCCCTGTTGGGCTTGCTTTTGTTAAGAAAAGGTGGCATTCAGCCATTGATAGAGCAGACCTTTCCCTCCCGCCCACCCCAGTGTTAAATTTAGATCATTTCCTCCAGCCTTGAAGGCCACCAGGCCACATTCCTGTGGCCACCTCAAGTGGCTAGACTGGCCCCAACCCTCACACCAGGTCTTTTCTCTGCCTCACAGATCGAAGGCCGCATTGTAGCGACGCCCAAGGAGAGTCCAAATCCCCCTAATCCCACAGGCCAGTGCCCCATCTGCCGCTGGAACCTAAAGCACAAGTACAACTATGAGGTGAGCCCACACGGAAGCATATAACCCATGTGTCACCAACGTCCGGTCCTCCCTCTGTCACCAGCGCCCCTCATAGAGCCACTAAAGGCAGCAGCATTTGTCCCAGTGGTTGTCAACCCTGGCTGCACATTACAATCACCTGAGGAGCTTTCAGAACTGTTCCTCCAAGTCTGTAAGCCCAGCACTCAGAGCCTAAGGTAGGAGGATCATAAATTTGAGCCAAGTCTGGGAAACAATGTAATCCTGTCTCAAAAAGGGCTGGAATTTAGCTCAGTGCTGAGAAGTGAAGAAAAGGTGCCCCATCTCTGCCTCAGGCAGCTACATCAGTCTGGGAGCGGGGCTGGGCACTGTTCGAAGCTCCCCATGCTTCTAGCAGGATCCCATGACTACAGGCAGGGCTGGGAGCCACCGGCCGGGTTCATGGGCCGGTTGCGCCTCAGAGCACCGGGGTTGGGTTCTCCAGGGATGCAATCAGGCCTGGGCTTGGTTCCCACCTCTTCTGATGGGGCGGCTCGAGTTCTCACTACCCTGGGAACATACTGCTGTCTCTCCATAGTAGAGCCTTGGAGCCCTTGATTGCCCCAGAGCTGGAACAGCCACTTCCGGAAGGAGAAGATAGGGAGCAGCAGCCATGGCTGGCAAGTGTGTGCCCTGTGCCAGGTCCTGCGTGGCACCTGCACCTTGTCATTTAGTGTCCGTACCAGCCCTTGAAGGTGGGACTTCATTCTTATTTCACAGATGAAGATACTGCAGGCCTGGAGGAAGTGAACCAGTCAGGTCACCCCTCTAGGATACAAACCATGTGGTAGAAGCCAGACAGCCAGGGTTGCTGCCTGCTAAAGGTGTACAGCGTCAGGCTAGGATGTGGCCTGGAGCCCACGCCTGCTCCTCCAGGCTCGCTCTGGTGACTTTAAGTGTTCTATTTTGGGGCTGCAGGTGATTCTGGCCTTGACCATTTTGACCTACAAGCTGTCCCTATGCCCCTTTGCAGGGTGAGATGACCACAGGCAGACAGCTTGGCCTCAGGTCACACAGGGCAGAGGGAAGGGCGATCACCCTGCCTCAGGCTGTTAATGCTGGTAGTGTGGCAGGCTGGTGATGTGGCAGGGCGATATGGGCCTGCCTGGAATCCAGCTGCTGATAGACAAACCCATACCTGCCCAGCCACTTGGGATGCTCTTGCCAGCATCTCCAGAAAATGCTGTGGTACTCTCTGCAGGGGGAGTCTCATCCCAAGTAAAGGTCAGTCTCCCTTCTTGCCTATTGCCTGGCAGCCTACAAGCTTAAACCAATCCTAGCTCTTCCCATCTGACTCCAAAGTTTGCAGGGGTGAGATGGGGACCCAGGTCCCCCAGGGACAGCTGTACCCTGAGGCTGGTCTCGTAGAGGATGGGCTCCCTCTCACCTCAGCTCTGGGGTCCTCTCCCTCACCCATCCCAAGCAGCCTGTGGACTTGTGATGGCCCAGAGGAAACCCAGGAACCCATCCCTCTCTGCTCAACAGGGACTTAGAGGATGGGGTCAGACTCCCACAGAGCCCCCTACTTGACCTCTAAGCCCCTTTCCACTTCAGGGGCTCACAGGAGGGGCATCTGATTGCCCTAGATCTAGACCAGGGGTGCTGACACAGCCTCTCCTCCAAAAATGCCCACCAGATGTTCTACTGCGAGTGCAGGGAAGACTGGCACTTCTAGAGCATCTTACCTCAAGTCTAGTCCGGGGCCCAGCAGGACCCGCCGTGGGGTCAACTATGTTGGAGTGGAGGGGGTAGAGAAGGCACAGCTCTGTGGGGTGCTGATCACCAGGCTCACAGCCACTACCTCTGGTCCCCCTAGGATGTGCTGCTGCTCAGCCAGTTCCTGCGGCCCCATGGCGGCATGCTGCCCCGGCGCGTGACGGGCCTGTGCACGGAGGAGCACCGCAAGGTGGAGGAGTGTGTGAAGATGGCCCACCGAGCAGGTAGGGCAGGCACGGCCCCTGACAGCCTGGCTCCCCAGCCTCAGCACTGCGGCAGCCACCCTGTGCTCTTCCTCCCCAGGTCTGCTCCCAACACACCGGCCTCGGCTTCCCGAGGGATTTGTCCCAAAGAGCAAGCCCAAGCTGAACCGGTAAGTAGCACTGCACACCCGGCCCGCAGGAGCTTCTGGCTGCAGCTCAGAGCCACGTGCATCGCCAGCTCAATCCTCTGCTCCCATCACACCCGCCATTGTGCGGCTGTAGTACAGAAGGCTTCTGCCGCATCGTGTGCTGGCCCCAGCCCTCTCTTATCCCGCCCTGCTGGCCAGAACCCTGGTGAGGAACAGGGAGGCCTGCTCATTGGGCACGAGCATGTGCTAAGCCCCTGCCCGTGACCTCACACAGGGTTGCTATGGGGATGTCAGAATACTTCGGCAAGCTCTGTCCCCCCAGCTCTCTCCAGCCCTGGGGTTATTACAGGACAGAGTGAGTGCAGTAAGACAACTGTGTACAGCTGTGTAAGTCGTGCACTGCACAACTTTGGGCCAGCATCTCTATAGCCTGGATCCCAAGTGCTACTCCCTAGAGGCCTGCAGTTGATGGTCTGTACCACTTCCTGTGGCAGCCCAAGAAGTCGTAAGGTTTATAAACCCAGGGATCAGCCAGCTCCCCTCTTAAACCAGGTGAACCCCTGCAGTTAGAGGATTCCAGCCTGACTTTGGGCAGTTGTGTGCCCAGTCCTCTTCTACCATGTGATCTCCCCGTACTTGGGCCCTTCAGCCTCTGATGTTCTCCATTTGGCATACAGTGGCATCTGGAACGTTGATTGTGGCGGGTACTATGCTGCCTCCCAACATCCTCCCTCCCTTCATTCCACCCCACCACCCATGGAGTGAGGAGGACTGGAAGCGGCGGAGGCCAAGCTCCTGGGCGTTCCCTGGCCATGGGGCGGGGTGCAGATCTGACCCCTCCACCTGTGCCCCATCAGGAGGGGACCAGCTGCTAGCATGGCGCACAGGAAACCTCTTCCCGCTGGCTTTCTCCACTTGGGGGCCGAATTCCTTCTCAGCCTTTAGAACTCTTAACAGGTCCAAGGACACCGTCCAACCTGCCCTCAGTCCTTGAAGCCCAGGCAGCTCCCTCCCATGCATCCGGTGTCCTTTAATGTGACAGAGGATCGATGATGTGTGAGGCTCATGCATTGCAGAAGGCCACCTGGAGGAGGGGTCTTGGCTGTGAAGGGAGCCATTCCCTCTGGACTGCTTCCCCGAGCTCCCTGAGCACCATATACTGGCCCAGGCCCTGCTTTATCCCACAGGTGGGACTAGAGCCTCGGTGCGTCCCACAGTCCCCCAGCAGCTGCTCCACAGGCCTGGCCGTCTGGCCTGGGATCTCTGAAGCCTGTTTCCCCCAGATCCCTCCCAGGGTGTGGGAGCACAGCTGAAGGCAGGAGAGCGGGGTCTCCTTGGGGTCCTCGTGGAATCCCAGTGAATGCACACACTGCACAGCCAGCCCCCAGCCCCAAGACTTCATGCTCCACAGTGGTCGTCGGGTGGCCCCTTTCCTTTGCCGCAGAATGACGACCATAGAACACACAGTCGCAGGGCCTGACCTCTGTGGTCAGCGCCTCAGCAGGGACACCACTGTGCCCAGCCCCGTGCAGCCCTCCTCTCCCTCGCGGCCCATGGTGGGCAGGCTGGAGCACAGGGCTGAGGCCAAAACAGCTCTGCCAAGTGCATACATCTGCCATCACTTTGCACTTTTTTCATCTAAAATTGTTCAGCCAAGGTAGTTTCTTAAGTTAAAAAGTTTTTCATCGAAGGGCCTCCAGGGGCCCTGGGGTGAGCCTGACCTAGAGTGGGCTGCAGAGGTTCTGGCCTGTCATGGCTGCGCTCATAGGATGAGGGTGGGCCTTTCTGGACAGAGGAAACCCCATGTTTCCAGGACCTGGAAGGGCCCTAGCCATGCCCAAAGGAGGCCAGAGGGCCATGGGTGGCCACCCCCTTTCCCACCCCTCCTGTTCCTGGAACCTCCCAGGGCTGATGCTGCACCAGTTCCCCATCCCTGGTCAGCCTGTGCCTGCAAGGGCCCTGAAGGCTGGGGTGGCAGAGCGAGCGGGGCGGGGGTACAGCTCCCAGGCTACCATCACTTTTGTCCCTACCCCAGCCAAGGCCACTCTCACATGAGCCCTCGCAAAGTGAAGATCAAGGGCCGGGGAGATAGCTCAGTAGCATAAGCGCCTGCCTGCACAAGGTCCTGAGTTCGATCCCCAGCACCAAAGAAAAAAAAAACAGCTAGGCCTGGGCCGCCTAACCTGGCCACACGCTGACAGCACCACCCAGCCTCCCATTGTATGACATTGCACTCTCCCAGGGGACAGCTGGGAAGAGGCTGCCATGGTCTTGGGGACAGTGCCAGTGCTCGCCATCACATCCTGTGCCTTCTCCATAGCTACCTCACCCGCTGGTCTACACGCTCTGTCAAGCCCATCTACAAAAAAGGCCACCGCTGGGACAAGGTGCGCATGGCTGTCGGGTCACCACTCCTGAAGGACAATATCTCCTACACAGGCCAGCCTTGGAAGCTGTACCACTGACTCACTCCTGGCCTGAGCCCCTCCTGCCTACCCCACCAGGGCAGCATGGCCCTTCCAGCACCTGCAGCACAAAGGACAGTGGGGCCACTTCTGTCCTGGGCCCCCTAGCAGCTGTAGTAGCCTCCTAACTACCAGGGGTTGTGCCCTGTTCTGGGGACAGTTTTACTCTAAGGAGTGTCATTCATAAACCAGCCTTATAGCCTTCTGACCGGCTGTGTGCTTTCTGCTGGGGAAGTGAGGGGGGCCTGGGGAGAACTGGGGGAGTCTTGCTGCAGGGTTCTAACTGCCAGGGACCAGGGATGAGGCTGCAGCAGGGAGGTGCAGAGCCTGCTGGCACCCATGTCAGTCTCACCTGAGCCTAAGGAGCAGCTGTCCTCACGAGTCCTTGGCTGTCACCTTCCACCGCTGTCTCCCATAGCGGTGTCTCCTCTAATGTGGCATTTCTTGGCCACTACTTTGGAAACAGGTTTCCTGGCCCAGAGGACCTCACTGGCAGCCTGGACAGTGGAGGGAGGTGGAACAAGGTAAGGCAGGACAGAATAAATAGGCCAAGTTCACAGAAACTTAGGAAAATACTGTTTAGGCTACATGGAGAACGCTGAGTGGCCCATCCTACAGCATAAAAGGCAAGTCCATGTTCTTTTCACCGGTGCCCACATAGATGTAGCCATGGTTCCTGGTGCGTGGGGTGTGGAAGAAGGTTAGGCCCGGCCACAGCAGGCTGCGCAGCACCACCAGCGAATTGCCCCGCTCCATTTGGATGCTCCAGGACCCTGGGGAGGCAAATGAGGAAGAGGCCGGATGTCAGCCTCTGGGTGGCCTTCACTGTTGCAGCTTGTCACCACCTCTCCTGAGGGAGGGCAGAGGACGTAAAAAAGGTGAAACACCAGTTGGCTCTTCCTGTTGTCAAGTCTGGGGAGCTGGTACCACTGTGCACCCCACACACAGGCTCCAGTCCCTGGGTGTGGGGTGAGCGCCCATGGCCCGCATCCTACTGTCATCCCCCTGTGCCAAGAGGGTTCAGCTGCCTGTGCTCCGTGGCCTTGCTGGCAGCAGGCAGGCCAGGCTGCCTCTAGTGGGAGGGGGCTGGGCTTCACTAATAAGCCTCTCCATCCTGGTTTCTGCCCTGGTTCGTGCTTCTGCAGACAGGAGCAGCCCAGCCGCCACAGGGACTTGGCTGGAAGGGCCAGATCCAGGTCCAAGGGAGGGAGCCGCTGTGTGGGAGGAAGGAGCCTGGGAAAGTCGCCTCTGGATGCAGATCTGGGGCTTCTATTCCCCTGTGCATGAGGCCTCTCCTGAAGCAGTCACGGCCCTGCTCCTGCCCTGCCAGGAAGGAGAGGCTTTAAAGGTTCTGGTGCCGGACCAGGCAGCGTGCTGAGTTCCGTGGCCTTCATCTGCTGCCAGCGTGGCCTGGCGACTTGGCTCTTGCACCCTGCTTCTCATGGCCCACCCCAGTCATGCCGCACCCAGCAGCCTCCAACTCCATCCCCACCCACTGGGGCCACCCCACATCCAAGAGCCCTGCCTGCCGGTAACCCATGACCTATGTGGCAGCGTGGCCCCACTTGGGACAGCTGCCGGCCTATGTCCAAACCACAGCTTTCTGGCACTGGGAAATCAGTGACCCCTGGGCTCTCCCAGACCCCTACTATACACACCTTGACCCACGTGAGGCACAAGTGGGATCCGTGTGCTGACCTGTCAGCTCCCACAGTGCCTGCAGGACCCCGTGGACAAAGCGTCAAAGTGCCCTGTTCCTGGGCCTTGGCCGAGCACTGGGCCAGACCACCCACCCCACCATCCTTGCCTGCTGCTTTTCCAGCCCTCAGCTCCATCCAGCAAGTGCTGCCTGAGGAGATGAGGGTAGGGACAGAATGGCCTGTCTCCAGGCCACTGTGCTCAGCCTCTGGCAAGAAGCCCAGCCCAGGAAGGTCCCATCCACTAGCCTTCAACATCCTGAGTGTCATCAGGTCAGCGTCTGAAAGACTTAGTCCTCGGGGACTATAGCCACATGCAGTCCACTGAACCAGGCACAGCCAAGCCTGCTCATCCGCCCTCTGCCTTCACACAACCTGGCTCTCAGCCTCCCCGGGGCCACATGATGTCTGGTGTCCCCCACTCCAAGCTGCATGAATACACTGTCAGCAGTGTGCTCACCAAGGTCACTGCCACCTCTAGCCTGCAGGAGGTCAGGGGGTATCTCATACATAATAGCAGCCCAGGAGAAGCCTAGCAGGGAAGCTGGGGTGAGCAGGCACCCCTGGCAAGGCAGGAGGGCAGTGCCAAGCCGGAGGAGGGTGCTAGGGCAGCCGAGTTGCCAGCCAGCCCAGCACTGCCCCTCCCTCACTTGTATTCTTGTCACACTCCTGCTTTCTGCCATTGACCCAGCTCAGCTGGTCGCCCAGGAAACACAGACTGTCGAAGACGTGCCATTAGTCACGTAGTGTCTACCTGAGGAGCCAGCCCCTCACTGTCACCTTCACTCACTTTGTTACTGCAAATGCCAGTGGGCCTGGGCCCCGCCACCGGCTGTGGCCCCCTCAGGACTTCAAAGAGCAGGCCTGACCTTCCCAAATCCCCTCAGCTCCCTTCTTGTATAGTGGCCACTGCTCCCAACGGACTACATGGTGGGGCACGAACAAGGGAAGGGAAAGGACCTGAGCTGCAAGCAGGAAGCACAGGGTTTCCTAGGCCTGGCCCCCACCTGCTGCTGCAGTCTGCAGATCTCCGGCTCAGGTGCACTGCCAAATCCCACTCCCACTGGTAGCACGGGGCCTGCTCAGTGGGGTGGGGTCAGCCAGGCAATGGGCACTTAGCCTCCCCAGATTAATAACTGCAACTCAGGCACACACCGAAATGTGGCCGGCCATGTGTTCCCAGTGAGGGCCATCCCAGCCCCAGTGGGGCAATGTGGTAGAGCTGAGACTCTGCAGGCTAGAGCTTGGAGAAGACAGTGGCACCATGTTCCCAGCCTTTAACTGACAGGCAGCAGGATCTGGCCCTGGCCCAGGGGGCCCCAGGACTTGGGCGGGAAGCACCATCCACATAAACAGCCAAAAAGCTGATCAAACCCCACCGCCCCTTTCTCCTGTGTCCTCTGGCACAACTACCACTACCAGTGCTGCTTCTGCCGGTTCCAGGCAGCCAGCCCCTTGCTGCCCTCTGCTGCCCAAACTGTGCACCACAGCTGAGCTTGCCCACCTGTCTCAGTTCTCCCCAAGTTTCTGGGAAGTAAAGGCACCCCTTTTGTCCCCAGTGGTGGTGGTGCAAGGCAGCTTCTGGTGACCTTACTGATAGAGGGTACCCATAGCAGACACCATGTAGAAGTCTGACCAGAGCTCCGGCCCAAGGTCGGAGAACTCGGCCTCTGCCTGTGTCCTCCAGGAGGGGTCTCCTTACCCCAGAAAAGGGTGGGTCCAAAGCTACCCAGTCCCCTACAGCACAGCAGGTCCAGGGTGCAGTGTGACATCCATGAGGATACAGTGGTCCTGGCCAACACCCTCCTCCCTCTCTAAGCAAGGTTGCCAGCAGTGAGTTACTGGGCCTCCACCCATCTCCATAGGGAGAAAGTAGGCGTCCTTGGGACAGTGCCACCTTAACCACACCTGCTTGGAAGAGACACCAAGTCATCTGAGGAGTGCTCACTGCGCACAGCTGTGACAGAACTCCCAACTACAGGTTGAGATGCGTCAGGACTCCGGGGGATGTCTATGGGAAGATTCTACACCTACCACCAGTCAAGACTGTTCTGGGGCCAGCAATCCCACCCTTGCATGTGTTTCCAAAGGCAATGAAACCAGTTTGTCCATGAGACACCTACACACCCATGCCTATGCCACACTGTCTACAACGGCCAAGAAAGGCAAAGTACCTCAGTGTCCGTCAGCTGATGAGTGGCCAGAAAGATGGAATATATACAGCATGGGATTCTGTGCAGCCCTAAAAATTGTGAGCTGCTATCATCTGTGGGATTAGAAAAACCAGGCACAGAGAGACAAGCACAGCATGAGCTCAGCCTCGTGGAATCTAAACAACTCTGAGGCCCATTCACTGAGCAGCTACTGTGATGGGGCCTGGGAAGGCTTCTTCCCCAAAAGCCCCCATAAGCCATCTATTCCCCCTATGTCTCTGGCGCTGCTTCCTGAAGAGAATGGCAGGTGCAGTCTTACCTTTGGGAATGTCATTCTCCAAGGAGTCCAGGAAATCCAGGGAGGGGTCCAAGTCTGCCTTCTCCAGCAAGGTCCTGTTCTTCAGGTCCACAGGCTCCCGGAAGTGGAAGTAGGAACTGAGTTTCCTGGCCTCTGACAAGGGCAGTCCTAGAGAGGAGGCCATGGAGGGTGCTTGGTCATAACCCACAGACCCTCCTCCTTCAGGGGTGGGGACCACACAGGCATCCAAGGGAGACAGGGACTAGTGCTCTTGCAAACAGGACAAAAGCAAGGAGCCACAGACAGAAGAGATGGAGACCAGCGAGCAGGGAGGCAGCCAGCAGCACAGGACACGGGGTGCATCTTCCTCAGAGCCAGGGCATCCCCTCCTCCTCCTTCACCTCCAAGGTACTGAGGGTGCTGGGGAAGAGAGGATCTGGGGAGCCCACCCTCAAAAGTCCGGTTGACATGGACAGGTCCAAAAGGGGTCTTGAAGAGCGCGCCTCGGGGGATGATGGCCACGGCCTTGTCAATCTGGTCAATGACAGATACCAGGCGGGTCTCTTCCTTGACCTGGACCTGGAAAGACAGGTGCTGTACCCACTCTACCCTGCTGCAAGGACCCCCACATTGCCTCCTCACCAGAGCTACCAGTGTCTGCCAGGCCCTGAAGACATGCCTGGTAGACCCCTGCCCCTCCTAGAGATTCTTCCCTTCTTTTTCCTCCTTTCTTTGTTTCCCTCTTTCCCACTCTCCCTCTATCCTTCCCTTCCTTTTTTTTTTAAATTTATGTATTTAGTACAGCATCTACAGCGTCTCACTACACAGATCGGACTTGTAGTGATTCTCCTGTTTTCAGTTTCCCAAGCACTGGCATTACAGGCATGTGCCACCACGCCCAGTTTCACTCACTGTCTCAGCACTCTCCGGGGGTGGGCCCAGCACAGCATGTCAGGGATCGAACCCCAGTCTTTGTGTCTGCGTAAGCAGGTGCTTTAATCTGCTGAGCTATCTGGCCAGCCCTTTCCTTCCTTCTTTGAATGTGAATACCAACAAGTGACACAATATTCACAACTACAAATGGGCATGGTGGTGATGCATGCCTGTAATCCAGAGCGTAGGAGACTGAGACAGCAGGACTACCACAAGTTCAAGTTCAAGACCATCCTGGACTTACGGAGCAAGACCCTGTCTCAAAAAAATAAAACACTACGAAACATCTAGTCTTCCTCTCTGACCCTCAAATTGCCCTCACTGAGGACATCTACTATGAACAGTTTGTTCCCTTCCAGAGACATACCATTTTTTGATCGTGTTTAAATGTTGCTATTTCCTGTTGTGGGGGGTTGTTTGCTATGAGGCGGGGTCTTGCTGTATAGCACAGACTAGCCTTGAACTCACTATGTAGTCCAGGCTGGCCTCAAACTCTGGCAATCGTTCTGCCTCTGACTCCTGAGGGGTAGTTGGAACTATAAGTGTGCGCCACCAGGCCTGCCTTACATGTTGCTTATTTTGCCTTCTTAAAATGTGAAAGTAGGCAGGTGTGGTAGCGTATGCTTATAATCCTAGCACTGTGGAGGCTGAGGTAGGGGGACTGCCACAAATTCGAGGCCAGCCTGAACTACACAGCAAGACCTGTCTCCGAAAACAAGGGACCATGCTCACTATAGAAAACTTGAATAATACAGAAAGACATACTTAAGAGGATTAAAGCACTAACAATCCCACCCCCTAAAGGTGAATCACTGATGTGTTGCTAGATTGGCTCTATTCTGTTTTTCACCATATGTGTTCCCAGTGAAGTTGGAGACAAAGTTACGGAGTTTCACCTCCTGCTCTCTGGTCACGTGACTACCACAAGCCTGTCCCCATGTTACAGCTCAACCTAACTGTTAACACGCAGGCCCCTAGGACCAAAAGAGCTACAGAGTCACCTGGGGAGGGCAGGCCTGGCCAGGGAAGTGCAGGCCACCTGCGCCTCACGTGCCAGCTACGTGGCTGAGGAAGGAGACTAGAAAGTGGCATTTCTCTAAGTGCGGGGGCCAGGGTCTGGAAGATGGCAGCTCGTTGGCTCTGTAGGAGCCACAGGGGGACCTGATCCAGTCCTGCAGACTGTAATCAGGGGCTCTGGGGAGGGCCTTTGGGGGACAGGGGCCCCACTGCCCAGACACAGGCTGGGGTTTGAACGCTGGCTCTGCCAGCTTCAAAACTTGTGCTCTTAGCTCAGCAGATTAAAACACCTGCTTAGGCAGCCACAGGGACCAAGGTTCAATCCCTGCCTGCCGTGCTGGCCCTGCCCCAGGACACACTGAGACAGTGAATGAATGAGATTGGGCATGGTGGCGCACTCACTGCAAGTCTGATCTATGTAGTGAGACCCTGTAGACTCTGTACTAAACACATTAAAAAAAAAACTTGGGCTCCTTGCTGATGTGCAATTCCATCGCTAGGAATCGATCCTTGAAATCAAGTGGTCACTGCAAATGGCATACGTAAGGGATCACATGGTTTGGTACAGTGTGCCAGGGCTGGGAGCTCAGAATCTGCAATTCCACAACCCAGACACAGGTTAAGCACCGTGTAGTCCCACACAGGCTCAAAGAACAGTGCAGCTCTTTTTTGTTGTTGTTTTTGTGGGGTTTGTTTGAGATAGGGTCTTACTACAGAGCCCAAACTGACTTCAAACTCTCAGCAACCACCCTGCCTCCTGAGTGCTGGGATTACCCAGCTGGGGAAGCCCCTTAGGCTGATGTAGAAGGGTCTCCAAAAGATACTGCCAAGGGAAAAGAGCAAGGTGCAGAAATACATGTGTCACAGGCCGCCATCCAGCTCATAGCTAGGTGAAGAGTGTGTGTGACGGTCAGGCGTTGACTGGGGCTTATATCTGCATGAGGTGGCTGCACCTCACACTTCAGGGAAACTCAAAGCCCCTGAGACCAGGCAACATGCAGGTTCTGATGCTGCAGCCCAGATCGTGTACTTCCGATACCTGTGTGCATACGCAGTAGAGGCACGATGGTTACACCTAGAAAGAGTGCCTGTGACTGCTGATGGAGGCAAACAAGGTGGAGCATCTTTTTTTGTTCTTCATTTATTTATTTGGTACAGGCTCTCACTATGCAGCTCGGACTCATAATGATCCTCCGGTTTTCAGCCTCTCCAGTGCTGGGATTCCAGGCGTGCACCACCATGCCCAGACTTGGTGGCCAGCTCAGCGCACCCAGGGGTGGTACTGGCACAGCCTGTGGCGCCTGGGATCGAACCCTGGTCCCTGTGCTTGCCCAAGCAGGCACTTAGTCTGCTGAACTATCTCACCAGCCCTGACTGCAGATGGAGACAGAAGGAAATGTCACTATATCCCTTTGTGCACTGTGGAATATGGAACTATGTGCCATATGATTTCATAAAATAAAAACTGGCTAAAAGGGGGCTGGGGAGATGGCTCAGTGGAATAAGCGCTTCCCTGGCAAGTGCAAAGGCCTGAGTTCAATCCCCAGTTCCGCAAAAAAAAAAAAAAAAAAAAAAAAAAAAAAAAAAAAAAAAAAAAGAAAAAGGAATGTACACCTACTTTGGGCTGGTGAGATGGCTCAGTGGTCTAAAACACCTACTCAGAACAAGCTTAGCAAAGCACAGGGACCACGGTTCAATCCCCCAGCACCACATGCCAGCCAGCCCCGCCCCCTGGTGGGCTGAGCTGGACACACACACACACACACACACACACACACACACACACAAATAAATAAATAAATAAAATTAAAAAAAAAAAAAACCTGGCTAAAAGCAAGGTAGGAACCAGGCATGCTGGCACACACCAGTAATCCCAGCACTTGGGAGGCTGAGGCAGGAAGACTGCTCTGAGTCAAGACCAGCTTGGGCTACAGAGTGAGCTCAAAGCCAGCTTGAACTGCATAGCAAGACCTTGTCTCAAAAAAACAACACAGACAAAAAAATTACAAACAAGAACAACACAGTTTGCAGCCCAGGAGTAGAGGGCCTGCCTACCCAGAGAGTGGCCCTGCCTGCACCCCAGCACCTCACCAAAAAGTATGCATGTGTGTTCCATGTGTATATTCATGTGTGTCACATGTACACCTACATATATATATATATATATATATCACAAATGCGTTTACATGTTATCTCTGTGTCACATATTTTGTGCATGTGTATTACATGTTTACATGTACATATATGTGTCACATGTGTATGTGTGTGTACTTATATGATACATATATACTTATGTGTATACATATTATACATGTTTGTGTATGTGTGTATTACATATATATCCATGTGAGTGTTACCTATTGTTATGGTTTGTATCTAGTTGTCCTCCCAAAGCCTCATGCAGTATGGGGCAGGGACTTCTAGAGTTTGAGATTAACTCATGATCCACTGGGATTATGGATCTTAGTACTGCTGGTGAGTGCTACACCCAACCTGGGGCAGATGGCCTGAACGAAACTTAAGGGAGACAGACTTCCTCTCTGCTGCCATTGTTGCTGTTAGTCCTCCACTTTGCTCATGCTGTCTGCTGCCGCCATGAACTGCTGCCCTCTGTCATGTGCCGCTCTGCCTTGGAGCCAGCTGAGTATGGACTAAAACCTCCAGTGACAGTGAGCTCAATAAACCTTTCCTTCTGTCATTTTGGGTGTCGGCTATTTTGTCCCAGCAACAAGGGAGAGTAACTGAGATAGTGTAACCCTGGACATGTTCCCTGATGCCCTTCCAAAGCAACCCCAAGTTCCACAAGAACCCTCCTGCCTCCCTGGCCCTGCCCCCTTGTCTTATCCTATCTACCTCCACGTTTCTGTGGTCCTCCCTCTACTAGCCAGAGAGTACAGCCCTCCTTCACGGCGGCGTGATGGTCCCAGGAGCAGAGCAGGGAGACCCAGGGATGTCACAGAATAGTACTCATTGCCCTAATTTCTATTAGGCTGGCTTGGGCATATGTGTGTACGCATGTGTGTGTGTTTGCTTTTGTCTTGCTTTGTTCTGGGGACTGGGGCTGCAGCCCAACATCTTTGGGCTCTGCTCCCCCTGAGCCCAAACTTCAGCTGGCGCAGGCCTGCTTCCCCCTCCCCTCACCCTCCTCCTCTCTCACCACCACATCATCCTCAAAGGTCTTCTCGCCCTCAGCTGTCGTCCTCTGGAACTCGGTGTGCTCATACTCATGCGAGGGGTCCCCCATGAAGCGGCCCTTCACCACAGCCATCTGCGCAGCCATTTCCTCGGTGGCAGGGGGCAGGAGGCTCCACTCCATGCAGTTCAAGCTGCAATGATACGCTGGCCCTGGACTCTGTCTCCAGACCCCTGCTCCTTCCCTTGCCCTTGGAGTCGGGGGCTGAACACTGAACTGTGCCTTTCCCTCCCTCTGACCCAAAGCCCTGAGCACCCCTCGTGCAGTTATGCAGCCGGCTCTCCTGGTGATAACAAATGCAACTGCATTGCGTGCAGGTCACAGAAGTGTCATGTTCAGGTGCTCCTCCCCTTTTGTTGAGGTCACATCCTGACATACCCATAGTGAACTGAAATTATTAAGTCAAAAACCTATTTAAGCCAGGCATAGTGGCACACACCTATAATCCCAGCACTCAGACGGCTGATGTAGGAAGATCACTTCAAGTTTGAGGCTAGGCTGGGCTACAAAGTAAGTTCAAGGCCAGCCTGAACTGTATAACAAAACATCGTCTCAAAAAGACAAAAACAAAACCACAAAAAAATCTATTTAACACACCCAGGCCAACCAACATCATAGCATCACAGGACAGACAGGACAGGCTCACTGCCAATTGCCTGGCACCCCAAGAGAGGCACAGCCTCCCAGCCTCGGGAGAGAGATGAATCTAATCCAGCACAGTTGCTACAGCATGTGCAGCACTTCCCCACCACCACCACCCGGCTGGAAGTGGACAGCGGAAGCATCCTCACAGGGTGTTGCTGAAGGTAGGAAAACCTCTTCCCAGACATCAGATCTCCCTTCCCGGTGAGCTGCTACCCTTGCCCCAGTGGTGGGCACCTGCCTGCTTCGAGCTCAGCCTGTGAGTGACAGCATGGTCTTTCCTCTTGGCTCATGGAGGCCACCCTGGCTCCAGGTCCTCGGCCTCTCCCAGGACCCAATGAAGAGTGCAGAGGGGACACTGGCCCTTCGGGGCTGGACTTTTCTGCTTCTCTCTCAATAGAAAAATAGCTCAGCCTCCCAGAGTCCCTGCCTCTCTGCAAAACATTTCTCCTAAGGAAGGGTTGCAAGGTCAGCCAACATTTTGGCCCTAGGCTTTCAAGGTCAGTGAAGACTCAGGACATAGGAGAACCTGTACTGCAACATCATGTAACTCAGTTGTGTCCCAAATTTTCTGATCAAGGAGATTATGGAGCCAAAGAGAAAAGTGATTGATGATGTAGAGTGTGCCTAAGGAGAGTCACATGGAAAGAAAACATTTTCTCAGGCTTTCACAGAGAGCAAACTGGTCAAGCAATGGCCGTGACTCATCCACGTGGCTGACACTGACAAACGATCTACAAAGTGTGGTATAGGGCTACAGGATAAATCCTGAGGTACTTGACTGACCTTATCACATACCAAAGTTACATTTCTTGCTATATAGGTCTTGCTTTATCTTGGTCTTAACCATCCAAAAGAGAAGTATAAAAATGAGGTATATAAAGTAAAGGCATATTAATATGCTGAGCTGTGAAAGGCTCAAGTCAACAACTTCTGCGAATAACCCACTACTATTGTGGACTGCTGGACGGTGTTGGATTGTTTTGCTGAATTCACGCATCTATAGTATTTAGATGATAATGGAATACCCATCTCTGACAGGACTAAACAAAAAAAGGAGATACAAAGGAAGGACCATTTTGTATTTGTATATACAGAATAGTTAGATAGATATACAGCTATTTTCGCTTAATTCAATGAGAAGAAAGATTTGTACTAATAGTGTTTGGACAGGATATCCTGCCTGCTTTTTGTACTATGGATAACCACTAAGAAGATAACAATGTACAATGTATTAATTATTAAAACTGTCCCATTATTAATGAAACTGTCTCATTGATATTTGTTTCTCAATAAAATAAAATAAAATAAAATAAAATAAAATAAAAACATTTTTCCTGTTTTTCCTCCGCTCCCTCTTCCCAGCTCTGAACAATGCCCTCAAAGTGACAATGTGCCCTAAGCAGTCACTTCCTTCCTGCCCTCTATCTCCTGAACCCCTTACCCCTGCCACCCACAGGCCTACTAGGGAAAAAGGTCCTGGGGAAACTAAAGGCCCTTGAGCCATCTCCACGGGCCTCTGCTGTCTCTCTCCACTCCCCTCCAGGGATCTGTCCTCTCCCACTGATCTCCATCTGCTTCTCAGAGGCCCAACTGCGCTGTGGGTACCCAGCCTGCAACCGCCTCACCACCACCCGGTCACTAGCGCTGGACGCTGCAGAGATGCTCAACCTCATCCCTGCTTGCACATCAACTCCTGGTCCCGACACAGCCCCACCCACTGTTCATATCTAAAGCAGCTCAGTGACACTCTCCTGTTCAGAATCTTTGGGCGGCTTCCCACGGAGCCAAGCCTTTCAGTGTCCCACAAAGGTCCCCATGACTGCTTTCTCCTTTCACCTCTGACCTGACTCCTACACTGCTTTCCTGCACTCACTCCACTGTCGCCACTCTATACTCTACCGTCTTCCACACCTGCCACAGGGCCTCTGTGCCTGCCCAGAACTGTCTCTCTCAGATACCCACATGCTTTGCTCCCTGGCACTTCAGGTCTCTTCTCAGTGTCATCCTATTAAGCAGGTCACCCTGCCGGGTGTGGTGGCACACACCTGTAATGCCAGCACTCAGGAGCCTCAGGCAGGAGGATCCTTGTGAATTTGAGACCAATCTGGGCTATAAAGTGACCTCAAGACCAGCCTGAACTGCTTAGCAAGAACCTGTGTCAAAAAGAAAAAAAAAAAAACAAAAAAACAAAAACAGGTCATCCTAACTCAATACCCACAAAAGTTGGGCAGGGTGGTGTGTCCCTACTCAATAGGATCACTTAAAAAAAATAGGATCACTTGACTGTACAAGTTCAAGACCAACTTAGATAACATGTGCAGACTCTGTCTCAAAAAATAAAAAGATTGGGCTGGTGAGATGGCTCAGTGGTCTAAAGCACCTACTTAGAACAAGCTTAGCAAAGCACAGGGACCGCGGTTCAATCCCCCAGCACCACATGCCAGCCAGCCCCGCCCCCCTGGTGGGCTGAGCTGGCCACACACACACAAATAAATAAATAAAATTAAAAAAAAATAAAATAAAAATAAATAAATAAAAAGATAAAACAGCCCATTGGTCAGTGGCACTTCAAGCATCTGCCATATATGTCATGGGAATGTTTGTCTGTCTTCTCTTTCCTGTCCCCAAGCACCTACTCCCACCTAAGTGTCCCCTTTACCATCATATTCCTGGTGCTTAGATCAGTGCTCAGCACACAGTAGGAGCTCCACAAATCCTCACAGGGTAAAATGAAATGGGTCCCCATGGCATGGTGCCACAACCCTGTACTTTTCACACCTTCTTCCTTCCCCCAGGAATTTCACACTGAACTCAGTCTCCCCCAGGGCCACCACCTGAGCTGCACCCAGCTCCAAAGCCAATGGCACTGGTACTGACTTCGTCTCCTGGGAAGGAAGGTGATCCCACACCCATCACTGTGCAGTGAGGCCCACCAGCCCCAGTCCTGCCACCACCCACGGCATCTTCCAACCGCCCCTCCTCTCCCTCAGCTGCGCTTCCCCTTCAAGCCCCACCATCCCGACCCTAGGATGATGGCTAAACGCACACCCCATTTCCAGGCCTACTTGCTCAGAGCCCCTGGTACCTCCCTACACCGGGGACTAAGCTCAAACGCCCTGTACTCTCCATCCAGCTCTACACACACACACACACACACACACACACACACACACACCGCTGCCCTGGTCAGGCCGCCTCCATGCTGAGGTGAAGAATTGCCCTCTGACCGCAGGCCGGTATGCAAGCCAGGAGATGCCATCTGACCCTGCGCCACCGGACCTGCTCGCTGTCTAGATCAGAACCCTTGGGCCCCTTGGGAGCAGTTACTTCTAGTTTTAACTGCCAAGTGGTACGTCTGTCCCCCTCCAAAGCAACTGCAGCTTCAGAACTGCAGCTTCCACAACTAACTCGCACCTGGCTCCCCTCAATAGGCCAGAACTGGGTGCCCCAGAGTCCCGGACACCTCTGCCACGTGAGCCCCCAGCCCTGAGCTGCACCCAGCCCCACAACTGGCTTCTACTCCAGAGGCCTTGTCCATCACAAGTTCCTGGCACGTAGGTCTCCCTGTCTCGGTCCATGCTTCCCCACCTGTAGAGCGTCTTGCGGGGCGCCAGCTGATCCTCGCCCAGGCCCTGAGCGATGTAGTAGTCGGCCACGATCCCGAGGATGCGGCCCCAGAAGAGAACGCGCTCGTAGCGGTAGTCGCGCTTCACGAGCAGCAGCGAGGTGAGCAGCGCGGTGCGCCGGTCGGGGCTGAGGCCCTGCCCGGTGCCAGCTGCCAGCTCCAGCGACAGCAGCAAGCTCTCAGAGTCCATGGCTCCGGCTCTGCAACGTCGGCAGCCGGGAGACGCGTCTCCATGGCGACCTGGGCCCCGCCCTCTCCCCATGACCTCCGCCCCTTCCGGGGTTGGGGCCGAGTCTCGCGCCGAGTCCCTACTGCGCTCACTTCCTGGGTCATTTCGGGCCGTGAACCCTCTCGCGAACTCACATTTAGAGCTTCGCTAACATCCGGGGTATGAGGAAGGATACACTAAAGCTTCGACACTAGGTGTGGGGCCACAGATCTACAAGCCCAGCGCTCCAGGAGGCGAGGGCAGGAGGATCAGGAGTTCCAGCCCTGGCCTCAAAACACTAAAAAGGGCTTGGATTGGATGCGCTTCAGTGCAATGGCCTTGGGTTCAATCCCCAGGATCTGGATGCGGGACGCGCATTGAATTTCAACATTGAAACTAGCTGTAAAGCGCTGGTGAGATGGCTCAGTGGTCTAAAGCACCTACTTAGAACAAGGTTAGCTAAAGCACAGGGACCGCGGTTCAATCCCCCAGCACCCGCCCCCTGGTGGGCTGAGCTGGCCACACACACACACAAATAAATAAATAATTTAAAAAGAAAAAAGAAACTAGCTGTAAAATTTCAGCCTGTTCAGTCCCTTTCTCGGAATTATTGTTGTTGTTGTTGTTGTTGTTGTTGTTGTTGTTATCTGAGACAAGTTCTTGCTACATAGTTATAGTTCAGGCTGGCTTCAAATTCCAAATGATCCTCCCGCCTCAGCCTCCCAAGTGCTGGGATTACACTCCTGTACCAATATGCCCAGTTTTGGCCTCAGAATTATTTCACGGAGACGGCCTGGGGAGATAGCTCAGTGGCATAGGCACCTTCCTGGCAAGCACATGGTCCTCAGTTCAATCCCCAGTTGGGGTGGGGGGAGGTAATACTCTTGGGGGCTGGTGAGATAGCTCAGCTGACTAAAGTACCTGTTTAAGGCAAGTTTAGGCAAGCGCAGGAACTGCTGTTCGATCCTTGATCCGGAACACATGTCTCGCCATCTGCGCCCCCAGAGCCTGGTGAGCTGGGCTGGCCACAAGGGGCAGGAAAAGAATTATTTCACAAAGGAAATCTGAGGTGCCCCCTGGCTGCAAAAGTGTACCAACACAGCATCCTCCCGTGCCACGCCAAGTCTTACAGGACAGGATCCATTCAGCACCAGATGGCCCTTCGCCTGCCCCTCCCTGGAACTAGTGCCCTTGCGTCCAATGAAGATTAAGCAAGGCTGAGCCAGCCTTGGTGTCACACACCTGTAATCCCAGCACTTGGCCAGTAGGGCAGAAGGATCCCCATCCAGCCTGGATTACAGAGTGAATTAAAGACCAGTGTGAACTCAAAAAAAATAGACAAGGCCAGCTAGATAGCTCAGTGGGTTAAAGCGTCTACATAGGCAGACACAGGGACCAGGGTTCAATTCCACCTCACCCCCGGGGCCAGCTGAGACTTTGACTGAGATTGGGCTTGGTGGCATGCACCTGTAATCCCAGCACTTGGGAGGCTGAAAACAGGAGGATCACTGAGTCTGATCTGTGTAGTGAAACCCTGTAGACACTGTACTAACTACATTAAATAAATAAATAAAAATAAATCTAGGGGCTAGACAGATGACTCAGTAGAATAAGTGCTTTCCTGGCAAGCGCAAGGGCCTGAGTTCAATCTCCGGTTCCACCAAAAAACATAAATAAATAATTTTAAAAAATAAATCTAATAAAAAAATAGACAACAGGGCAAGGTCACAGAGCCATTCAGTGTGACGAGGGCACAGGAAGGGTGATGTTTACAGGCTACTCTTGCCTCAACCACTACCACCTACATTATTTACTACTTTGGGTCCTACAGCTGTTACTGTTAAGACTCAAATATAGACACTGAGCAGGGCCTGCCGCAGCTGGGGCACTGCCTGCCCAGGCCACTGCATGTCCACCTTTGATCCCAGTCAGGGACAAATGCAAACACATTCCTCAGCAAGTCTGCTGCCCGGAAGAGCTGGACTTTATGGTTATTATTAATTGGTCTTTTCATCTGGGAATTCCTTTGAGAAGACTCATGGAATCAAACTGACCTGGGTCCCAAGGCCAAGCCTGTAGGCATGCATCTAAATTACTCCAGTAATTACTTTGTTTTGATTGTCGAGGCATTTTTTATGATGGCTTTTAAAATAGGTATTAGACAGTGCCTGCCTGACAAGTGTGAGGTCCTGAATTCGATTCCTGGTACCAATAAAATAAGTATTGGAAGGAGCCGACCTGCCTTAGCACGCCTTCCTTCTCAGCACAGTTTACGAGCCCCCTCTGCACAACTCCCCACTGCCTCCTGGTTCCTCTCCTACAAGGTAAGAAGACAGAGAAGAACCCAAGATCAGCCTGGTGGGAGATGCCTAGAGTGCTCACACACAGAAGCGCCCAAGCCTTTGGTCTGATTGATCTGTTTACCCATTAACAGCAAGCACCACACCAGCAAACAGAATTCCAAGAAGACAAAAGGTGGAACATCTTGCAAGGGCAAATCCTGGCTAACGTGGAATAAAACCATGGGGTGTGTGGCCCTCAACCTCTGGGTCACAGGTTCAAATCCATCTTCTAATACCCAAGCAGGTCGCTGAGTCTCCCCATTTGTAATGTGGGCAGCCACACACATGGCGCAATGTTGTCACATTAGACACTAGGAGCTGTGTCTTGGGCACGAAAGGGACTGGGCGTGGTGGGCACTGGACAAGAGAGGCCTCCCTGTGGGTGTGGCAGAACAGAAATTCTGAATCACATAGATCTAAAATTCCACAACACCTGGAGGCTGAATTAAAATACAGTACTTAAAAAACAAAGAGAAAGATGCTGGGGAGATAGCTTAGTAGACTAAGCGCCTGCCTGGCGAGTGCAAGGTCCTGAGTTCTGAGTTCAATCCCTG